GCTCTCCAGCTATTCTTCAAATGGAAGACAATATACACTCTACTAGTGACTGTGTTTAAAAAAAAAAAGTGCACAAATGCATGCACACACAATCACACCAAGCCAAATCACTGCCAAAAAAAAAAAAAGAAAAAGAAAGAAAAAGAGTATTTTTCCATTACACAAACCAATTCTCTGTGATATATGTGTTTTATGGCCATGGAGACGAAAAACGGTCAAAACTCTGCCCTAAATTAAACAAATTGATTCCCATCTTTACCCCTTTACCAAAATAATTTACTAAGGCTTAAGAACCAAGCAGACTCAAGGCTGGGATGTTGTACAGCCCACACAGTCGGTAATAAATCTCCCCTTACTCTCCATACTACTTTCTTAAATAGCTCACTATAAAGCCTCAATCTAATTAAAAACAGCTTTCTCGGCAACAGCGGCCTTGATTTCACTTATTTACACATTAACTGCAACCTCCATTTGGCCAATCCAGTCTATTCCCTGTACCACGCAGGGACTTTTATCTGCCCTGGACAGCATTTTCTCCAGCAGATGAAGTAGATGCCGATTGATTTGCTGTCGAGCATGGTAAATTAATAGCAACAAATTGCTGAGGGCCCCATCTCGCTGCTCCACCATGCTTCGGCAGTTTTGCTTTATTTGCTCCATGATGGGCAGCAGTCAGGCCTCTTCAAGTCAATTTCTTCTTAACAACCTGCAATACTTTTCAATGGTGAAAATAGAGCCGTTCCTTGTAAGTCAGTAATCAATATCCTATTGCCCTTAGAAAATGCTAAACAAGCAGTATTGGCAATCCACTTGGTACTAGAGGGTATCAGATATAATGCAAATCCATACTGCTTCCCTCCTCGTAGTTATTACAGTTTGCTAAAAGGTTCCTAATGCCATTTATCATCATTTACCATCGACTACTGCAGCTATGATTATATCCTATTAGCTAGCAGAGCCCTTTCATTTCTATCCAATTAATATTTTAGCAACACTCAAATGGTTGTTGCCCAAGTCCTGTAATAAAATTTACATGGATGGGACTTTTTTTTTTTAACTGTGATCTTAAAAAGTCATTTCATTTATTTTTTAATACTCACTTTCTTAAAAGACCTGAATTTTCTCTCAAAAATGCTGAAATCCAACATTCTAGCATGTGAATTAGTTCAAAGACAGAAGTCTAACGAAAAGGAGTGACTCAGAATTTATGTATTGCCACCTCAAAAAAACAATCAAAGTAAAAAGTGAAGGCTGTATCCTATTTATGCTTTCCAGCAGTCCCATTCACAAATATCTGTTGTCTGTAGCCAAATACAGACACTTAAGTGATAATTACAATTCTGAATTAAAACCTTCAGCAAGCATGTTTAATTACAGCAATTTAAATAAACTGTTTACCATAACATTAAAACAGCCTAATTTCAGAAATTAAACCAAATGACCACCATCACCAAGCAGCAACAGTATATTAGAAACACAGAGCAGCACGTCAACTATTCATTCATAAACTATCAGCTGAGCCTCTTAAAAACAAATGTTAAAAAGCAACCTAGTAAGAAACGGGCATCTTCAGGCCGCACTCAAACATTCATATTTATGCTAATATTGCAATTTAAAACTAAAGGGAATTATCTGTTCATACTGCAACCCAAAAACTTTCAACTCAATGCCTTCTTCTTTTTTTGGAATGTGTCTATTCTGAAGCACTATTGATCCTAGTACAGAATATCAAAAATTTGCTTAGTTTTTTAGGCTGTAACATCACATGTCACAACATACCCCACACTTGTCTTTAAAAAAAAATACAAATGACTAATTCTAACAGTTTAATGTTATTTACTCAGTTACCAAAATTTAAATTAATTATGTTCTCAAACATAATTGTTAAAAATTGGCAACATTATGCAGGCTTAATTAAGATTAAATCCAATTTGCTAAATGTACTTTAATTGGTACTAATTACATTAGCTTTCCTTTCAGAATGACAAATTCCCCATAGGTTGCACTTTAATAGTTTTCTATCAAAATCAACACAGGATGACTGATGATGAGCATCACATGAGGGGTGGGAATAGAGATGCTCTTCCCCCCCTCTCCCCTCCCAGACACACAGGCACACTCACTACTGCTGCTCTCTGCCCGTTTATCCTTTTATCAATTTGCTAAGTCACAGAGTCATGACTCCATCACAGCCATCATTTTCTGTTCCAGTGAAAAATTTCTCTAAAAATAAATAAATACTCTGTGGCTGGGGGCAGCCAAGAAGAACAGAAGCTTTAACAGAAAAATACACAAAGGTTTCAAATATCAGGGCCACAAATTACTAGGGTACTTCCAAGGACTCCAGGGAGTCCTGCTCTTGAACCCTTTGAGACGCAAATCTAATAAGTGAGTAAGCCTAACCTGATCTTGAGAACCTGGCCCAATTACCCCAAAGGGCAACTTCACTGCATTATTGCCTGCTTTCCATTACAAGGGCATCCAGCAAGTACATCTGGAAAAGAACCTGAGAGGAACCAAGGCTGTCTGCCCAGAAAAACAAATAAAGACAGATATGCCTCTGTGCTAACGTGAAAAGAAGAAAGAAAATATAATAAGTAGGTGGTTTGCAGGGCTGTCTGTATTTCATAATGTGATAAACTGCCCTCAGGATTTTTTTATATGATTGAATTTAGAAAGCTGGAGGGGGGGGAAGAAAAAAAAAAAAAAGGGTGAATTGCTCAATTTGAGCCGAGTAAAATTCAAATACGGGAGAAGAAGAGAATTGAATTTAAGGTGGAAGACTAAAAAAGCTTCACACTCGTCAAACGAAGCAATCAACACTATCTATGTAATATACCAAATTGGACCCTAGCGCTGTGATGATAAAGCAAGATGGGAAATATTTTCCAGTTACTGAAGCAAGAGGAGAGAGGAGGGGAAAAAAAACACCATCACATCAAACAAAAAAACCCACAACAACAAACAACCTGCTGTGGCAATAGGAGACATGAGAGATATGAAATCAGATTTAAGAATGATAGCAAACAAGTTTCTTAGCTGCAGCCAATTCAAATAAACAACTGACAAAGTATTTCAGTGTTCTGCATGAGAGTACAATACTCAAACTACTAATTTGACTAGACTGAACAGTAATGGGAAAAGGTGTTTAATTAATACCCAGTCCTTTGTAATCCCCACGCTTAGTTGTAACTAAGTGTTTAATTTCTCCAGAATATCACTGACAACTCCATCACCACAACTGTATACAATTTCTTAAGTATTTAGAAATTAAAAGTTAAAAGGGCTTTCACTGTGGGATTTTTCCCTCCTCTTAAAACAATTTAATTCCACATTGCACTTGCAAGCTAATTTTGTCCCACAGAATTTTATGCAGCCAGTTTAAGTCTACATACAAATAACTGCTGCAAAAACAGGGTACCTAGAAACATAAGTCTGACTGCAACGCTTGCTTTGAAACGCCTGTAAGAATTTGCTATGTAGGTGGCTTGTACAGACTCTGGTCTTCATGAATTGTTTCCGTATCTACTGCTCTACTGATTTGGAGGGAGGGAGGGGCATTGGGATTTTTGTTGTTCTGGGTTTTTTTTGTTGTTGTTTTGTTTTGTCTTAAATGGGAGCAGAAACAATCTGGCTATTCACTGGGAAACAGACCCAACACCTCTGAGTCAGTGTCAGTCTTTCCACCAGCACCCACGACCTGAATCCGGTCCAGTCAGTCACCACATCCATACAGTATGATCAGCTGCAATCACAGCTGTTTCTGCTCAACCCTTTGTTAAATGTGCTTCTTGAGTCTTCACGGTTGGGCACCTGTGAGAAAGACATCTGAATTCAACAGGTCTACATATAATGTCTGTAAAATAATGTGTTTGTACAAATTTGGAGCTGCGGATGCAAAAACACTTTGAGGCAGGAAGTCCCACTGTCTTCATATTTGTATGCTATCTAGTGCAAATAGCCCTAATCCATACTGTGCATTGGGATGCTAATGGAATACAAGATATAATAAATAATAAAGAACATGAAAAAACATTTGACTCGTATGTCTGCTCTCAACAAGATAGAGAAATCCTATTTCCACAACCCAGAGAAGTTCCAAATCCCTAACTTTGAACAGAAATGCGTACAAACCAATTTTCAGATGGTCTTTCTTCTCCCATCCAATCATTTCTTTATTTCTGCAGTTTACACTCCCCAGCAACACTTGCAAATTGCTCAACCATTTGCTAAAATGAGTTGTCAGTATTAAACTCGACCATACAAAAAGTTCCTTCACTGGAAAAGAGGTCAGATGTTTAATTCATTCTCCTCTAGAGAAGGTTAAAAACACGCATTACTAAATAAGAAACTCTGATTTACACTACCATGCTCTATCTGACTAATCTCCTGCTAATCTTGGCCTATGTGCTAGACTTCAAGGCACAAAACAGAGCATGTTAACATCCTCACAGAAAGCTCATTTACTCTTTCATGTCTGTGATGCTAAGACAGTGGTTTTGGACAAAGGTCCAAGTAAGCAGCCTGAGGGCAACAGGAACATGGCTGTACATCAATTGCTTTTGTAGCTCCAGCTTAAATCAGTCCAGGTTAACCGAAGAGAATAGTCCTTTCCACACGCAAATACAAATCCCTCCACCCCTAATACGCATTAGTGATGTAGCTACCATTCCAAAAAGTAAACCTTGAATCTCTGAGGTCAGACAGATCTGAAGTTACAACCCACATACCCTATGCACATACGCCTTCCCTGTGCAGTACAGGACCGTTTGCATGTGTGAGGATTGCATGTGGAAAGTCAACTGAATTAGCCCAGACTGTAACCTATGCAGTACCCATTTACCATACACAAAATGGAAGTTTCAGGGCCAGGTTAAATACAAAAAAATTTCCAGTGCACTCAAGCATGCAATTAAAGCAAGTCATACAGAACACACATCTGTTTTAAGACTGATGGGAGAAATTACATGGAGCACTCTTACACAAAACACATTACCTACCTGTTTATGCATCTCTATGTTCAGCCCATAGGACATCTCGTAATACTAAGAAAGAAGAAGATGAATCTGTTAGACCTTGCAATTGTGAAAACTATTCCAAAATTTACTTTGACTCAAACATCATTTGTATAAACACATACAGACCTAAAAACATTTATTGGCCTTGAGGAACTCCTGGAATTTAAAACAGCCTTTCATAGCCACCTTTTTTTTTTCCTGCTTTTTTGCTTAATCTACATTGCTTCATGTCAAATTTACAGAGAACAGCCATAAAACAAGGAAAAAAACAGACAACAAATAAGTCACAAAATCTAATCAGAACCAGAGTTAAAGATTAGAAGCAGAAAAAAAAATTCACACAGAAAATGCTCAAGATTTTATTCCCTAGCACACATAAAAGATGTCAAAAAATTTGCCTGAAGTGCTTGAAGCTAGACACACATATAAATCAGCAATGTCTAACAGACTGATTATTCAAATTTTTAAATTAAAAACATACAAAAAAGCAGCAATTAAATTGTAGAGATATAAAAAGTGAAAGACCATGGAAATCCAGAGGCAAAGCAGATACACCAATGTGTGTCCTGTTGTGCCCGAGTATTGCGGGGAACTTGGTTCAGTCTGTAATGTTAGTAACCACACAATCTCCAAGACTTAGGTGTATTAGGTATGAAAAAAGACAACTGTGAGCCTTAACATTTGCTTGTGCCCTTGGTAAATAATTTTTCAAGGTTATTTACTCTTTTTGTAAATACAAGAGTGTCATTTGTCACATACACATGGAAATCAGCTAACCCTTCAACAATGTACAAAAGAGCAGAGAGCAAAGAGCTCCTCTGGAGTTATCACGATCCATCACGCAACTGCATATTTAAAGATGTCTTCTTATGCATGTTATTTAACCAGGCAGACCACAACCATTGAGGAAATCCCTTTCACAGCTGAGATCCTTGCCATTCTGCATGTAGCAAAACAATGAACCTGCTCAGGTGCAACAGTTCTTCTAGGAAGTAGGCTTCACATTTCTATGCATACGTGCACAATTTTGGCTCACGCCCATCACAGAAAACAGTAAAATCGTTCAGGATAGTATTGAGATATGATTGCTGAGAGAAGTCGGCAAACCTGACAAGATTGTCTCCAGGTATAGTAGGAAAGTTGCATGCTGCTTTGAAGAGCTGACAAGTAACCTGCTAGCATTTGGAAGGAATATCCCCAATTGCTTAAAACGTTAAAAAGCATGTTTTATGTGGAAACCAACTGCTGAAAACAAGTTATAAACTCCTGAAACAAAGGATTCATAATAGAAGCACTGATGCAACCTCAACAACAGCAGTGCTACTGTAATCTTTCTGTTTGCCTCCAGCAATCCAAATGTATTTCAGTCTCAGTATACCAAGCTAATAGACATTTTGAATTTGTTATGCAGCTTGCTTACCATGACATAATGTCGCTGCATCTCCGTCTTCTCACTGGCCAGTTTTTCACATTCTAGCTTTAAACTGTTCAAGACATAAAAAGGAAAAAGCAAAGGTACTTCACAACAGAAACCTGACATTCTTCTGACCACAGGTTTCTCCTCTTTTCAAGCAGTTCTCCAACACACAAATAGAAATGTGCATTCCAGATCTTGCTTGCGTGGGAGGTCAGTGTGGGGTTTGTACTCTTTCCTCGAAACTTCAAGAGATACTGTGCAACATCCTCATTCCCTAAGTAAACTGCATGCAGTACACCAGAGAGTATTTTCTCTGAAAAAAAAAACAGCCCTCACCACTGGTTCATGGAAAAAGCATGTAGAGTTTCATACCTCTAACACAAGCTGGAGAAGCTACTTACAAATCCGTAATTTGGATTTCGGAGTTTTTATTTAAATGAGTTTCAGAAACACCTCTTGCTTTCACTCAACCCACAGAGGGAAGCAAACGCATTTCACCACTTCAAGGAGCAAAAAGTTGCTGGATTTTATGAGGGGCTTTTTTGCTGTTACTGTTGACAGAACTGGAAGGAAAATACTGTAGGTAATTTAACAAATACCATGGTAAACATTAATACCTCCGCTGTTTTCGAAGTTTTTGTGTGTGTTTGTTTTCAGAAGCTCGCTAAGCAATCCTGCCTGAAGTCACTTGTCACTTTGAGGACACAGCACTCTTCTACCTAAGGATAATGAAATCGCTCGCCGCCTCACTTCCAGGTTATCAGCACTTGACATGTCAATGAAAGGCGCGAGGGGGC